CCCTGGCCCACTGGTTGGTGATCACTATCTAGTCCAACCCCCACCCAAGCAGGAGACCTTACATCATTTTCAACAGATGGCAGTCTAGTCTCTTCTTGAAAGCTTCCAGTGAAGCCCCCACAACTTCTGGAGGCAAGCTGTTCCATTGCTTGTTTCCATTGTCAGAAAATCTTGGAAGAGTAGTTGAGCAAAAACAATTAAAAATGCAAGTGTCCAAAAGAAAATTAATAATGCAATGAGCCACTCAATTTTGAAAGTAAAACTGTACTAAGATGTGTTCATGTTTATTTTATTTTACAGTTTTATATTTGTTTGAAAACGGATGGATTATAAGTATCTGGAAAAAATACTAAAACATGCATGCATAGAACGATAGTACAAAAGGCGGAAGTATCTTTCTTCACAGTGGCAATTTTATTTTACAAATCCCAATCAGTTGCATTCCTTGCCTTCACTTAGGTTTGCAAACACGCCTTAAACAGAATTATCAGGGATAGGTACATACTGAAATGTATAAGACGGTGCATGAAGGGAAGGAGTGGGCACCCACACTTGTGTAACCCACCCCATTCCTTTCCTCCATGGAAGACTATTTAAGCCCACGTTTAAGTTTCAGATTTTTAAACATATCGAGCTACGCCTCTGGAAACGGTACACCCGATTCCGTCATCGACCCAAGGACCACCGGATCCGGCCCTTGTGGATAGATGCAGCACCACCCCACTTCACAGCAAAGAGAGCGGCTCCGCGGGCCGATCGCGCACCGCAGAGCAGAAGCGGCTCGGCCAGGAAGGGAAGCCCGGCAAGGCTTCCAAACGCAGACCGCAAGCGAGCAAACCAAAAGGGCAATTTTCCCCGGCCGCATGGGCAAGTTCGATAAGCGGGCGGTTGTTTGTTTGTTTGTTTGTTTTTTCGACCGCCCACGCGTGGCAAAAGGGCTCGCCCAACCGGGCGTGGAAAGACTCCCTGGCTGCCTGTCGAGGGGCGCTGTGGTGCGGTTTCGCCCTCTGCAGCTCGGCCCTGTCAGGCTTGGCGGAGGCGGAAGCGTCTTTCCGTTCGCGCTGCTTCCTTCGCCGCCTCCCTTTCCTTCCCGTTGTCAGTCGGCTTCTGTTGAGGCCCTGGCGCAGAAGTGGCCGAGGAAGAAAGTCTCGGAGAGGAGAGAAGCTGAGGTAAGCGCGGCGCCCCGTTCTCCCTTCTCCCTTTTTCCTTCGGTTCCGGGGGGTGGGGGTGGGGATGGGGGCAATGACGACCCTAACGGGGAAGGCCCGCCCGTTTGGTGCCCGCCCTAGAGCGCGTATATAAAAAAGATTTTTTTAAAAAAAAGTTGTAAAAAGTGCAAAACTGGTGGGGCTTCTTGTCTCTCCGCCGACGTCCTTCCTCTCTTCTGGAACACAGGCCTCGTTGCTGATCCCCTTTCCTAGCTCCGCGCCCCGGGCTCCGGCTCCGAGACTGTCCGGAGTGGCTCGTAGGACCCCGAGTGGGTTCAGCTTGTTGTCTCTGCCGCTGCCTACCCAGGCTTCGGTGTTGGGTGCTAAATGTCTGCCTGTAACAAGTTGACTCCACCTAACAGCTTTCCTCGCTGCTCACTTCTATGGTGGGGAATTACAAAGTAGTTCTGGACTTACGACCACAATTGGGCCCAAAGTTTCTGTCGTTAAGTGAGACAGTTACGTGAATATTGCCCCATTTTGCCACTTTTCTTGCTACACAGTGAATCACCACAGTTAAGTTGTTCGCGCTTCCCCTGGCACTTTTGCTTGTCAGAAGGTCACAAAAGCAGATCACACACATGACCCTGGGGCAGGGCAACTGTCATAAATATGAACCAGTTGCCAAGCGTCTGAATTTTGATCGCGTGACCATGGAGATGCTGCAACGGTCATATGTGTGAAAAAAAGGTCATAAGTCACTTTTTTCAGTGCCAGTTGTAACTTTGAAAGGTCGCTAAATGAACTGTTGTACATTGAGGACTACCTGTACAGTGTGAAATTGATTAGACTTAGAAATTGGTGTTTTTATTCCCCCTAACTTAGTTTGGAATCTGCTAAGGAGGGGCCCTATTTTGATCTGTGTGTGCTTTACACACTGGAATTGTTAGTTTTGTATGGAACCATACATAGGGAGCTGACAAATACAATTTCTCCAGGAGTCACATAAAATTGTGAAGGGTTTGGGGAGCGTGGGTAGAGCACACACACACACTACCACTCTAATACTTCATTTTTTATCAAATAGAACATGTGTGTTTTCTATGTGTGTCTTAATAGATAGAATGATTTCTGAAGTTGAGAAGTTAAGAGGTAGAGAATTAAGAAGGGTGCACCTCTTTCCTATTGTCCCTTTCTTTGAGAGTGTTGTCGGTTTCTTCATTTGCCTCTCACTCCTCTGGCTGTCTATATTTTTCTCTCTTGTATATTTTTGGGTAGGAATTGTAAAAAAAATAAGCTACTTTCTTCATCAAAGCAAAAATACAACCTTGGCAGCAAAAGTAAGGCAGGAATGATTTCATTTATGTGGCGACCTAGATCATTTCTGAGATCATATCTGCTAATTATCCCACTTAACTATGTAGTAAGAACTATTCAAAATCAAGATCTAGTCTGAAATAAAGGAAGCCAGGATACAAGCCTTATTAATTAAACACATTATTACTCATGTTTAGTTCTTACAGTTTTAAGAGGTGTATTCAGTTACCTGTACTGCTGTGGGTGGGCACTTTTGCTTATGTCATTTTCTTAAGTATTCAGAACAGAATTTCTTAACATTTTAATTCTGAAATAGAACATCTAATTTTTACTTTGCTTTCTTAGATTTAACCATTGTAGATTAGGTGGGAATATCTAAATAATGTGATGGCAAAGTATTCATTTTGCTACTGGAGAAATTTTAATTAAATTACTTAGAGAAAACTTTACAAACTGGTTCTGTTTGTAATTATATGATGATATTATCACTGCTGCCTGATCTTGCCAGTTAAAAGTCACTAGATATTGAATGCCCTTACTGGATGTTTCAGGCACGGTGGGACCAGCCTAGTATTGCCATTTTATTTCTAAATAATAATTATATACCATAGTGAAATAAATAGTTCCTAATAGTTTAAAATCTCATAATAATTATCATACAATGTAAAACATAGCATCATAATTAAAGCATAATAAATAGGAGATCATCTGTTAATCCATTGGAATAATGTTTTGTAAGCCAGTGATGTAAAAGCTAACATGAACATACAAGGTACTTGATTAGAACACAAGATTATCTTCCCCCCAAAATGAAGTCATCCTGTAAATGAGGTCCTGGCACACTAAGACAAAACCAACAGTAAAATCCCCCTTGAAATTGAGGTCAGAAGGGTGTCTCCCTCAAGCAAAAGATAAAGCTTTTTGAAAGAGTTGCTGATAAATATAATTTAACTCTGAACAGCACATATTTTGAAGACAATGGCTTAGAAACCTGGCTTTTGTGTCATATAATCACAATCAAAATGTGCTTTGTCAGTACTTGCAAAAGCTGAAGAATATATATGATAGAAACCTGAATATTTTGAATTCATAGAACTTGGAAGAAGTATTTCAGGACTTATATAAAAATAGCACCTCTCTGTTACATTGAAGTAATCCATATACCTTACTGTGTCTGTCAATACTGAACATTATAGCCTTCACATTTATTGACCCCATGTTTTAATAATAATTTATTAAATTTTATGCTGCCCAATTCCAAGCAACTATGGACAGCTTACAACAATCCAGTAAATTACAATGAAATGAATAGAAGATGGCCTGCACCACAGATTGGATGGAATGAAGCAGGATGTTTAGTTCTATTTGACACACCATATATTAAGATAAAAGTTTGTTGTTTGTTGTTTTCTAATCAATATATTGAAATAAAGTATGGCTATCAAAGGTCAAGGGACGTGATGGCTCAGCGGCTAAGACGCTTAGCTTGTCGATCAGAAAGGCGACAGTTTGGTGGTTCAAATCCCTAGCACCATGTAACAGAGTAAGTTCCTATTACTTGTCCCAGCTTCTGCCAACCTAGCAGTTCAAAAGCATGTAAAAATGCAAGTAGAAAAAATAGCGACCTCTGTGGGAAGGTAACAGCATTCCATGCGTTTAATCATGCCAGTGCTGGCTCTTCAGCTTAGAAACGGAGATGAGCACCGCCCCGCTACAGTTGGGAACGACTAGCATATGTGCGAGAGGAACCTTTACCTATTAAAGGTCACCTCTTTAGGTAAGATAGGGGCTTTCCCACTACTGTGATTAGAATTAGCATGTGATTTTAAATCTATTTCCTTGATTAATGTAGTTAATATAGTATAATGAAACCTAGCTTCTGAGCTGGCCTTAAAACTGAATATTCTCTTATTATTTAGTGGCTTGGAAGAAAAAGTGTTTTTCCCTCACACTATTTACAACCTTTATACCCTTTTTGAATCATTCCTCAAGTACTTAAACTAGTTTGCAAAAGCAGCTTTTTTGAACTTCTAGTATCCACTACTGCAATTATGACAGATATGTTCCGTGCATTGCTCATGCTTAAATGTGACAATGAGCATACTTCGTCCTTTTTCCACAGTTTGGATTAGCAGAGGAATATGTTTCAGTGTTGAAAATAAAGCAAAGCATATCCCAAAATCATATTGATATCATAAGCACATTAATATAAAGCTAATGGATCAAGATGTGAATTCTTAAAACTGCTCTGTGTTTGTTATCAGAAATAGAAACTGGAACTTATACAATCAATTCTGTTTTCCTTTCAAACACAAATGGGCTTTCCTTAATTGGTAATGATCCTAAATGGAAACTGAAACTGGGTTAAATGACTTTCCAGTATTGTGTACACTGAGGATCATGTAATCTAATTCCATACACTATTTATTCACTATTTTTGAATTGAAAGAGTTGAAGTATTATAGATTTTAATAAGTTTGAGAATCTATTAGCATGTCTGTAGTATACATAGTATAGCAGTAATGAAGCCAACAAAATTCAGACTTGGATAAACTACAAATAGAAAACATTGCTCTTGAAGCAATCTTCAGGTGAATGTCTGAGATGACAAAAGTGGTTGGCATGATAGGAGAAAGATTTTTCATTACATTTCACTCATGCCATTCAAAATACATTTATCCTGTTCATCTCTGGTATACAAAGGTAGAGAAAGGGCTATGCAGCAATCTGGATTTAATGGGGAAACCCAATATAGAGCTTTCAGACATGTTTATAATAACTGTTGGTGCCTTGTTAAAGTAAATTTGACTTTTTCTTGGATGGAACAACAATTATGAAAAGATACAACTTTTTGAAACAGTTGCTGATAAATGTAATTTAACTGTGTTTTTTCTCTTCAAATCCAGGTTGCCATGTAGTTTTAAAGTTTTCCCAAAGTCAGTCATTAATGATTATTAGATTATTAGAAATAAAGTGTCTCTGAGTATATATTCTCACCAGTAACATGTGTAATTAGGTTGTTAAGTTAAACAGCAAAGATGAAATTTAGATACAAATTAGTATATCAGTATATACACTGCTCAAAAAAATAAAGAGAACACTTAAACAACACAATGTAACTCCAAGTCAGTCACACTTCTGTGAAATCAAACTTTCCACTTAGGTAGTAACACTGATTGACAATCAATTTCACATGCTGTTGTGTAAATGGAATAGACAACAGATGGAAAGCATAGGCAGTTAGCAAGACATCCCCAATAAAGGAGTGGTTCTGCAGGTGGTGACCACAGACTACTTCTCAGTTCCTATGCTTTCTGGCTGATGGTTTGGTTACTTTTGAATGTTGTTGGTGCTCTCACTCTAGTGGTAGCATGAGACAGAGTCTACAACCCACACAAGTGACTCAGGTAGTACAGCTCATCCAGGATGGCACATCAATGCGAGCTGTTTGCTGTGTCTGTCAGCGTAGTGTCCAGAGCATGGAGGCGCTACCAGGAGACAGGCCAGTACATCAGGAGACATGGAAGAGGCCGTAGGAGGGCAACAACCCAGCATCAGGACCGCTACCTCCACCTTTGTGCAAGGAGGGACAGGAGGAGCACTGCCAGAGCCCTGCAAAATGACCTCCAGTGGGCCACAAATGTGCATGTGGCTGCTCAAACGGTCAAAAGCAGACTCCATGAGGGTGGTATGAGGGCCCGACATCCACAGGTGGGGGTTGTGCTTACAGCCCAATACCGTGCAGGACGTTTGGCATTTTCCAGAAAACACCAAGATTGACAAATTCGCCACTGGCGCCCTGTGCTCTTCACAGATGAAAGCAGGTTCACACTGACCATATGTGACAGACGTGACAGGGTCTGGAGACGCCGTGGAGAATGTTCTACTGCCTGCAACATCCTCCAACATGACTGGTTTGGCAGTGGGTCAGTAATGGTGTGGGGTGGCATTTCTTTAGGGGGCCGCACAGCCCTCCATTTGTTCGCCAGAGGTAGCCTAACTGCCATCAGGTACTGAGATGAGATCCTCAGACAGCTTATGAGACCGCTGGCCCCTCCTAATGTAAGACAATGCTAAACCTCATGGCTGGAGTATGTCAGCTGTTCCTGCAAGATGAAGGCATTGATGCTATGGACTGGCCCGCCCGTTCCCCAGACCTGAATCCAATTGAGCACATCTGGGACATCATGTCTCGCTCTATCCACCAACTCCACATTGCACCACAGACTGTCCAGGAGTTGGGGGATGCTTTAGTCCAGGTGTGGGAGGAGATCCCTCAGGAGACCATCTGCCACTTCATCAGGAGCATGCCCAGGCATTGTAGGGAAGTCATACAAGCACGTGGAAGCCACACACGCTACTGAGCCTCATTTTGACTTGTTTTAAGGACATTACATCAAAGTTGGATCAGCCTGTAGTGTTTTTTTCCACTTTAATTTTGAGTGTAACTCCAAATCCAGACCTCCATGGGTTGCTAAATTTGATTTCCATTGATAATTTTTGTGTGATTTTGTTGTCAGCACATTCAACTATGTAATGAACAAAGTATTTAATAAGAATATTTCATTCATTCAAATCTAGGATGTTTTATTTTTGTGTTTATTTTTTTGAGCAATGTATTAAGCACCATTGCAGCAATTTCCTTTCACATAATTGTTTTCATGGCCTTCATTTATGATCAGAAGCATATCTCAAAACACTATTTGAAAAAGAGGAAGGAAAATATAAACATCTGAAAAATTACAATTTCAGTTTTCATATGTTTATTAATTTGCTTTATAACCTGGGTTTCATTTAATAATATAACTCAAGACAGTATGCATAAATGGTTGCTTCTCTTGCTTTTCCTACAACAACCATCCTGTGAAAATAGGCTAGGTTGAGAGAGAAAATGTCTGGCCTTAAACGATCCAGCTGGCTTTCATATACCAGTTTCTAGTTCAGCACCTTTTATGGTAAGTTCAAAGAAGGACTTATAGGACAGTATTTTATATTTCCTTAAATTGTATAAAATAAACAAATTTTATAAATCAAATTAATAAATATATGAAAACTTAAATTTTAGTCCTAATAAACAAAAACTGTTGATAAAAAGAGGAAAAAGCATTCAGTGACCAGGTAAATGAAGCTCAGAAGTTATATTTTATGAGAAGATTATCATTCCTAAAGAGAAAATAAAGTGGGTGCAAGAATGTGATATTTCAATTTTCATAGAAAAAACTACGTAGAATTTGTAAGAAAAGCAAACTTTCCTTTAGTAAAAGTAAAACTAAAATACCCTATTTTGGTAACTTCCATGAACAAAAATAGTTGCATGTAGCTGCATAACTGAAAGCATTTGTAGACCAAATGTTTATTTTTCATAAACTCAACTAGAAAACTGTTGCTGTTGTGAAGCAATATGAACTTCAAAATTAGCAATATTGTTATATTAAGATGTTGCATGAAAATAATATACTTTAATGCTAAGTGTTCTAGATATTTTTGCATATTTTACATATAGCTTAGCGACTGCAATTGAATCAAGAATTCCCACTGCTAAGCAAAACACCACAAGACCATGATGTCCTCACATCCTCAGTTGCGCTGAGAACATTAAACAAACCACCCATGCGCTTTAAGTGAGACATCACATGACTGCAAGTTGCAGTTTTCCTGCCAACTTCTCCATAAACTCTGCTTCTTGGAAACCAGTGGAGAAGTACACAAATGGCGATCATCTGACTATGGGGACACTACAATGGTGGTAAATGCAAGGATAGATCATGAATTTTTCAGCACTGAAAATTTCAAATGATTGCTAAACAAGGCAGTCATTAAGTGGGGTCTGTATATATTTATATGTATGTATTTTCAAGGTGTGGACACCTTCAAAATATTTTTCATTTTCAGTTGCATTATGTGAAGACTTAAATTGGTAAAGGCAGGAGATAGAATAGACTGACTGTATAATTCTATAGGCAGTGTGCATAATAACTTTCTGTTACTGTTTTCTAAGTGATATACAGAAATAAGGAAATTTATATTTTCAAAATAGTCTATATTTAAAGAATTCTTCATCAGTTGAGATATGTTGCTATTCTGGTTTGGTTCCTGTAGAATAGCTTCACTTCTTTGAAGCTAGCAACGCAAATAATTTCACAACATCCCAATTTTTTAAAATAAGGATTTTAAAACTGTTTTACTTCCATTGCTTGTCTTTGGATATAGTGTGCATTAATAACCCCTAAAACAGCCATTATACTTTCGTAGTGGGAAATAATTTATTCTGTGGAGAAGAACTAAATACAGATTTAGATAGTAATGGGGAAATAGTTTTTTTATAGCCTTTGTTCCCACTAAGCAACCAGTTCAAACTTCCATGATTTTAAAGAGCATAAAGTTGTATATCATCTTTTTCAACAGTTTGCATCATAAAGAAGTAAAAGCATAGTTATTAAAAATAACTGTTAACTAATAGTTAATAGTTATAGTTAACTAATATTTCAAAAAATAGAAATACAGCTACTTTCCCTAAGCACCTTTGGAACAGGCACTTTGATTTTTTTTTGAAACACGATCAAACTGTGATCAATCAGCAGGATCAAACTCCTGGCTGTGGGCAGAGTTAGTCTGCAATACTGCATTCTAACCACTATGCTACCACTGTGTCTTATTCCCCCAGTAAGGGAATAAACAAGTAAATCAAACTGTCATGTAATTTATAGAATTATGTTTTGCAGTTTAAGAAATCTTTGCAGTTTAAAAACCATTAGTATAGTTTTTATTATACACCACTACCAATATCCTAAACTTGCACAAAAAGGTAAAAAGGCAAAAGGAAAGCATACAGGTTAGGTTTTTAGTAAGTGTTATAAGTTACCTACTTATCCCAAAGTGTACTATGGCTTTGTATAATTACTAATGTATATGCACATACATGCATACATTATATATATAATATTTCTGATTTTATGTATTTATGCTATAGATAGATAGATAGATAGATAGATAGATAGATAGATAGATAGATAGATAGATAGATAGATAGATGATAGATAGATATTCAATCAGAAGTATTTGATACTTTACCATCTTTCACAAAAACCCAGGTTTATTTGGAAAGCAAGAAATTTCATAATGGAAGCTTTTGGCTAGCCAAAAAAAAAAGCATTAAAGACTTTTTTACATACATACATACATACATACATACATACATACATACATGTTATTCAGCTTTGTTCGGGTATTTTTCCATGTCATTATAGTTGTGCTTTTAAAGTTGTAGCAACGTTTCGGCAGAATCTCATCTGCCATCATTAGGCTTCTGTATTGTGTTCATCTGAACAAAGCTGAATAACATACATGTAAGTACCCGCGAAAACTTAAGAAAACATACATACATACAATCCCTGCTAATTTACTGGTTGTTCTGATATCCTCTGCTGCTGATACTTCTCAACAAACAGATATTGGGTTTTTGACTTTGGTTGCTTTGTAAGAAAAGGATAGAATGAAAAAAGAGAAAGAAATACAGATTAATTCCATTCCTGGAGGATGAGGTTCTTTGGCTGAAACTTGAGCATTGTGCATTTTCCACATTCCTGATATGAGAACTCTTGAATCCTGTTTTTAAAAAATTAAGAGTTAAAAAAAGCAAAACTTTGGTGATTGAATGGATTGCTCCTTTAATTCCATCTTGTACTGCAACCTGTACTTTCAATATTCCATTATATTTATCTTTTATCTTTTTAATAAGGAAGGCTTTCTGAAGTAAGCATCTGTCTTTTCAAAATAAATTATTTTTTTGTTAACAATAATTTTCTAGAAGAGATGAGGATTTTTCAAAATCTTGCCCCCTGACTTATTTTTGACATATCTTCTGTAGACTATCATTTGTTTAATATTAACTCTATTACATGGAACTCAGAATACTACCGTGTGGTTATTCATTGACAGGCAGAAAAGTCTTATCAAATTATTGGAAGCCTGTGCTGATGTGAATTTCTATAATAGAAAATAACAATCGGCATACTGCCTTGAAAAGACTATGAATTTTGGGGATACTAGTAAATAATACAATATCTTAAACTCATCTTTCAAGAAAATATAGTTTTTCATTTAATACCTTTGTAAAGCTACTTTTCATGATGTTGAAAAACAGTTCTATCTTTAATGCCTTTGATTAGTTCTTTAAAGCGCGCAAGAGCAGAGAGATATCACTTGAGTTTTTCTGTGATGTTCACATACTAATTGTTCCAAGGTGTAAATATATCCTACGGTATACAGGTAGTTCTCAACTTATAACAGTTCATTTAGTGACTATTTGAAATTACAACAGCACTCAAAAAAGTGATTTATAACTGTTTTTCACGCAAGCATGGTAGCAACCCCATGGTCACATGATCAAAATTCAGAGGCTTAGCAGCTGACTCATATTTATGAGGATTGCTGTGTCCCAGTGCTGTGTGATCCCCTTTTGCGACCTTCTGTCAACCAAAGTCAATGGGGAAGCCAGTTTCACTTAACAACCAAGTTATCAATTAAACAGCACTGATTCACTTAACAACTCTGGAAAGAAAGGTTGTAAAATGAGGCAGAATTTGCAACAAATGTCTCATGTAACAACACAAAATTTAGGCTCAATTGTGGTTGTAAGTCAAGGACTACCTGTACTCTATCGTTGTTGCATCAGTGGAATGATTATTGGTATACAGAGAACTTTATAGAAGTTGCCCTGAATTCTGTAAGAGATAAATCCTTTCTACCAAGACTTGGCCGGGCATTCTTGAATTCCTCAATTAAGGCAATGTAAGTACAGCTTAAGCATGTTCTTTCCCTGGGCTGTTCACATTCTGCCTTAAATGTTCAACTGGCAAAATGCCCACTGTCTAGAAAACACTTTTGTGAAAGGTGTAGCTACTTTGTTAAAAATTCTGAACAAAGGGGAGTTCTGCAAAATTGAACACTCCTTCAGATTGGGCAGAATTGCATTCTTAAACTTCAAATTAAATATACCTGAACAGAAACTGCTCAAACCTTCCACTACATAGGATAGTGCATTCTTGTAACTTGTAACAAACATGGAATAGTTTCTAGTTATATAAAGTTTTTGAATAGCTATAGTTTGTTTTGTTTTTTATTCTATCATAGTAGAATTATATATCCTTACTCTCATAATCCAATCACATAAATATAACAGATTTCTTTGATTTTTTTTAATAACATGGTAATAGCAATTTAGATGATAGATAGTGGATGGATGGATAGATGGATGGATGGATGGATGGATGGATGGATAGATAGATAGATAGATAGATAGATAGATAGATAGA